CACACTCTGGAAAACATTACACACCAGGCAGCATTCATGTTGCATGTGTGTGTCTGTGTTTGAGGAGACTTGGAGCATCATCAACAATAACAAAAGAATGTGTAATTTCCTCATGCGGCCCATGCAGGCAAAGCAGACTTCCTTGAATTTCATATCAGCGCAAGGACTGCTTTTTTTAAACTAGTTTCTCCAGAATGATTAGGAAAATTACAACGTGGTCTCGCCATCACTAACTCTATAGTCAATTTGTCATCTGTCATCTTACATGCACCGGTGTAACTTTAATAGCTAGGCCAACTGGTGGTGTCTTCATTGACCTTGGCCAAACTTTACAAGCTTTTAATGTTTTGCCATTTTCTCGTCAGGTCTTTAACCCTGAATGCAAGGACTAATAATAGACCCTTTACCCAAGAAAGCTGTAACCAATTTTAGATGAATCTGATCCCGCTCTTGGTGGAGTGTGAAGACATTTGGGGCCCAAGAAATCTATCACCATTCTCGGCAGGGGCAGAGTTAATTTTGGTCCGGTCCGTCCATCACAATGTCTGTGATGTAGTTTAGCAAGACAGTGCATGGCCACTCTTTTGGTTTTCTTTGGGCATCTTTCATATTCAGTTTGTGGGTGAGAACATTTTTGAGAGGTCAGCACCAATATCAGTGGTAATAGTATGGCTGTCTTGCAAAGTTTCAACAGAATTCCTGTGATAATGTGTAAGACTTTTTAGTTTAAAAACATTAACATCGAACATTAACAGAATGTGAAGAAGTAACCTTTCTGACATTATGTGAAAGACCTATGTATTATGTCGCAGAGATATCCACTGAAATTAGCATGCTCACCAGGTAGCACCAACCCAAGCTGCCTTGTAATACAATTTGTACCTCAGTAGGCAATTCATAGTTTTCAGTCATGTGACGTGCAGTGACCTGGAGGGCAAAACAACAGACCAACACAGCAGCTCACACTCCCCCGTAGATATTCCGCAAAAGCAGTCAAATTTTATTTGGATCACCTTTCAACAAGATCACGCAAAAAGAACACAAACTGCAAGTGTTTGGTATATCCGATCCATATAACGTTACAGCATCCGCTGCCGCATTTCTAACGTTAAAAACCGCCAGGTCCCTGTCGAGCAGCGGCTGCAGTATGTTTACGTTTATCTTGTGAAGAATCCCTCACCTAACACAGCCCAGGCTTGTCTCCTCCTCTATTAACCCTTCACTAAGCCCCGCCCCCCTTAGTTACTGTTGCTAAGTCCGACAAACTGTCAGCACTGCCACTGTCTATTACTGCACTCCTTGGAGAAATATTGTCAAATTTGTTGGAAAAAGCGATCTCAGAAAGAGCAGACAGTTTTGCAGTTGCATTATACATTTGAAGGTTGTCTTCAGGCTGTCAAATTGACTCAAATGGATGTGAAAAAATGAAAGATGAAACCTAAAGCCTACCAATCACACAGTACAAGTGAACCACCACATCCACTGACGATTGAGACAACGATATGAAGGATCAACACTGTTCCTGTAAAGCTGGGTAGGCCTCTATTCATTATTACAATCATTAAAAAGCAGAACAGTAGGGCTTTATTACATTATATTCAGTAGGAAGTTAGCTAGCGTTAGCTAATTAACATTACATTAGGAACAACCCACAGCCGAAATTTTTCTGGATTTATTTAAGGTTTTGGAAAGAGAATAAATCATACTTCTCCTGTAAACCTCTCTGGGCAGCGACTGTAACTATTACAAGTGCCCCAGGAACAGTGTATGACGATATCTTGGAAAAATACAGTGGGGGAAAAAAAGCTAGAAAACGATTGCTTTTGCATTAGAGTGAATGGAACGCATCCATGAAAGTGTCGGACCTCAGTTAGAGAGAGTCCTATACTGCGCTGTGATTGGTCAGCTTTGTATTTGGGGTGTGGCATATTCCTTCATAATCTATTAATTACCCTTCAATAGCCATAAAAACCTAATCAAGAGGGCCATGTGATGTAAGGGGGCCACTTGGCATAACGGCTTCCAACCGTCGAACGTGATTTCATTTTTTTAACTAATGAGCGAGCCAAAACAGAGATTGACACACCACAGATAACATCAGATGAAATACTTGAATTTCAGGTAAACTCCCACTAGAAAGTTGGAGTAAAACTTTTTTCACTTTGAGGTAGCTATCGCATGTTTGTTGCATGACATATCTTTCACCGGAGAGGCTCATCAATGTCAGCATAGCTAAATCTATATTCTTAAGATAAAGATAATAATTAGTGAGGTACTGTATAGTTGGTGAGGTACTGTATTCCCTGTCGTCAAACTGGCCTCCATTGGTGTCTGAGGCTTGTTCAGTGGTTCTGTTGCCCACTTGCCTGACTCCAGTTCTGGAGCCTGTTCAGGCACCGTTCTTCGCCAGCACTCACCGCTGGGTCCCCCTTGCCCCAGGCGTGAAAACCTCCTCTGCCTGGCGGTCGATAGCTCCTGTGCTAGAAGGGGTCAACACTTCCCCTGTGCTCCAAACTCACAATCTGGGCAGAATCTGCTAATGTATCCGCTAGTAGCTGCAGGACTAACTGAGCTAACTTGCTAACAGGAGCTAGAGAAGGCAGCTACAGTCACTAGCAGTTAGCTGTTAATCTGGCGCTCTGTTGCCCCCTATTTGTTTGGAGTATGAATCTTGCAATCTTACACATAGCATCTTTTACTTACATCATTTGCATGGTTGCATACTAGAGCTGCAACTAATGATTATTTTATTATCTATTAATCTGCTGATTAATTTCTCAGTTTTCTCAGCTGAGGTGGCTAAGCTACAAATTCCTTGTTTTATCTGACCATCAATCCAAACCCAAAGATATTCAATTCACTTTTGCATTTCTCCTTGGCCACTTTATTTGGCACAACTATACATTGTAATGCAACTCAACCTATTACTGGACGCATTATATTAAGTGTCTAATATCCTTCCCCATCATGTTTGCAAATGGGGTGGGCAAAATAGAAACACCTCAGTATAATGCTGACCATTTCACCACTGCTAACTACAAGCTCACTTATAAACATACAGTTAAATTAATACCCCTTTGACAGTGTTAAGGTTTTACAGGTGTACCTGTGCGTACAGTGGCCACTGAGTGTAGTATGTTTATAATAAAATAAAGCATATCCTCACATTTGAGAAGCTGCAGAGATTGTTTGTTAATTTTTGTTTTTAAAATGACTGAAACAACTTACTGATTGAATTTTCTTTAGATTGACTAATGGATAAATGGGATTATAACTGGATTATCCGACAAATTGTTTAATCTCTACTACATATCACCATTTTTAGATGGAACAGTGGTTCCATTAGACTCAGACATTTGAGAGTGGGGATCCAATACTCGAAGCTCTAATACATTGCCTTGATTTATTTTCTATTTTTGTGGTTTTAAATCAAACTGCATATTTCAGAAGTATGGTGGTCAATTTTTTCCTTGCTAACAAATTTAAGAAAAAAAATAGATTTCAGTGGTGTGTGTTGGTGAGTTCCTGCTATTGCTGAGTTGAAGATATAGAAAATTGTATTACATCCAGGAGACGGCTGCATTCATTTCTTTAAACCTCACTGATTGCAATGCCGCCTTCTATAAATTCATCAGCTGTCAAAACTGCCCTCTGCTCTCACACTGTGGCAGATATTTTGGTGTAATGCTTTTATAATATGGAAGAAACCTTGTCCTGAAACCTGGGTTCTGGGCAAGCATTGCTATTTACACTGTTTCTGTTTTTGTTGCTCCATAATGGATTTTACCTTGATGATTAGACTATCAATTTATTTATTCCTATAAGTGGGGTTGGGCGATGGCTGACAGTCATTGACCACTGAGCCCTCTACCATCGTAACATTGTTAAAAGCCACCACCTTCCACCCAATCGGACACACACAAACACTACCACACACGATGTCTATGAAGATTCTCAGTCATCCAGGTCATAGTTATGAAGGTTAAAATCAAGGGCAACTGGAATTCCAGTTGCCCTTGATTTTAACCTTCGTTGGATAACTACCACACACTGAAAAGGGTCTGAAACTGACTCGGTGTGCACACACACGCACACAGCGGAAGCAGAGAGAGACACCGCTCTGTCGCAGTGGACACGGTGAAGTTAAGTTAGCACCAAACTACCAGAGTTGCCAACAGCTACGCTTGTTACTGTACGTGCAATAAAACCTTCGCAAGTAAAAAGACAATACTTTATCAATACACCTGTCTGTAAGGTAAACATGTAGAAAGGGTTAATTTAATAATCTCTGTCCTCAGTCTGTTATCCTGTATGTTTTATAGAAGCGCAGCTAATGTTAACTTGGCAGTTAGCCAAATGTTAAAAACAAGCTAAAAAGACAACTGTCTGTCTGTAGCATAGACTGGTCTGTAGTCTTAAAATTTGGCATTGTTAAAATCATAGCTGCTGGCTGAGACAAACCAGCTGCTGCTCCTTCTACCAGGTAACGTTACCTGCAGGTAGTGAATAACAGCAGAGAGGAGGAGGAGAAGGAGGGACTGATACAGACTGATGTCTGAGTTTTTACTCTCTCTAAACGTCATTCAGTATTGTGAAGTCAGATATTGAGTTTATATATATATATATATATATATATATATATATATATATATATATATATAATGTGACTTTGCTTTTGTAAAAAAATAATGTTGCTGCTCTAGAAACAACATTAGCTGTATTTAAAATATTAAATTCTAATTTTATAATTAATTTTAAAACAACCATGCAGTTAATATGCACACTTCAGTGTTTTATTTATTTATCGCAAGTCATATATCATCTCAATATATAACAATGTTATAGCACATTGAACATTTTCCTCATACTGTGCAGGCCTACCTCATGCCTGTTGGGTCTGGTCTTATCAAATAACCGTCATCAAATAATAGTAAAATATTAATAGTTGTGTTGATAAAGAATCGGATCTTTAAGCAGTCTCAATAAGGGTATCAATAAAAATGAACGACCCCCATCCCTACTCACTAGGCAGCAGATGCAGGTAGATTTTCTGTTTGAGTAAAATACTGAAAGTGTAAAGTTTTGCGAGTAAAGCCTCCAAACAGCGATATTGTCCATTGTGATGTTTCCCTGTAGACATCGTCATATGCCAATTCGCTAGACATCACCTAACCCTGCCTACAAATAATAATAACCAATCAAAGGAATGCTTAAATGTGAGAACGTCCAGTGGCAGCTCTGTCCTGATCTTTATTTAATTTAGTGACATTTTTATTTTATCATATATGTAGCTGCCGTGTGCTCATTTAGGACCCCTTTTCCATGGTCCTTGTTTAAAAAACGACTCAGACGGAAACATTTAAAGTGAGACCGAGTTTTCAACTCATGGGGCTAACGTTTGCTTAATTAGGGAGTTAGCTACAGCTGATAAAATATGCTGGCTAAATTATAAGTCTGCTTTTGTCTACCTCTCTGAGATCGAGGAGCTATTGTTTAAAAATTTGCCACTTTTATTGTAAACTCCTTATCAAACTCGTATCATCATCTTATCATAGCAGTTCTTTAAAATATCTCCTCTTGTGTGTTTATAGGTGTGTTGTGGCTGGAGCCGTCATCATTGCGTCGGAGTGGAGTTGCCGTGGCAGCCCTGACGGGGCGCAGGAGGAGGGTGGCGATGGAGAAGGACTGGGAGACGGGCCGGACCGCGGACTGGACGGCGACCCTGAGGGCGTTTGGAGTCCAGACATTGAGCAGAGCTTTCAGGAAGCTCTGGCCATCTACCCTCCCTGCGGCAGGAGGAAGATCATACTTTCAGACGAAGGAAAGATGTATGGTGAGGAACATAAAATGTTCTGTCCTAACACAATGACTGTCATCCAGCCAATCCTGTATGTCTCCTCCTTCTGCCAGGTGTTTTCTGTCATATCTAGTTCATAGACCATAGTTTTCTTGTTTGTGTTAAATGCCTGCTGAGATACTTTTATACATGAAATGAAAAAATGTAAATGGAGAACTCTACCTGTACCTTTGGTTGTGAAGGGTTTTGAACAAACATTTTCTGTTATGGAACCACAAACAGAAACATTTTAAATTATGCTTTTACAGTGGCAGCATTTTAAGAAAATGAATCAATATATTTAAAGATTTTTTTGGCGGGGGGATGGTCTTCATTTCTAGAATTTCTTTCGTAATAATAGCAAGGTAACATTCACTTTACAGATTGTGGGCACAGGGTCTCTGCAGGACACAGCTTTGCAACTGCACATACAGTATAGGAGCATCAGTCCACTTTAAACTAAATCACTTATTTGGAAGTGGAACTGAAAATACCCAATATAATTTGCCATTGCATACGGCTTCTGCGAATGACTTACTGTACTGCATGTCGTTTTGTTTATAGTGCTGTCTGGCTCACTTTGAAATGACAGTGTGTAAACCATTGCAGCCATGTCATTAGGAAAAGAGATTTGGAAGGCCATCTATTGCATGTAAAGCCACTTACCATTGTAAGAAAGCATTGTTTTACATGCAAGCACAGCAAATGTTTAATTGGGACGTAGCGCTGCGTAACAGTGGATGATGTAAATAGAGGTTTTATGTTATTGTTGTTCATTTGTCTCTCTTTTTTTCACTTCTAAATAATTAGTTAACGTAAGCCTGTGTAAATCTGACAGTGGTTTTTAAATATAACTTAACTATAACTATGTAAAAAGGCCTTTTACAGAATGATGAAACTCTCTTCCTGCACCTGGTGTGGTTTTCTAAGGAACCTCTGCAACGATCAGTAATGATTCGCTGCATGCACTTCGGAAACCAGGGTGCTATTGACCAGTCTTGGAAAGACCTCTTAGTTTGTGCCCAGGTGATCTGCTTGCAGGTATTTTGGGAGAGGGCTATTTAGCTTTGAGGTCAAAGGGCAGCCAGCAGTGACAGGGTCAAGGGATACAGCAGGTTGCCTTTTCAGGTCAAGTTACGGTTAGCATATGAATAAGTTGCTTGATTGCTCATTCCCCTCGGCGATAATTACTTAAAGAGGAGTTCATATTGATCTATGGGACTGAATAACCAGTGTTATAGTGTTCGCTCTTATTAGGATTGGTTCAGGATACTGTCTGCGAGTAGAGCTTTGATGTATTTTGACTGTTTCTTTCTACCTTATTGAAGACATTGGCTAGCATCCAACATTCCCAGCATTTTTGTCTTTCTTTCTTTTTTTTTTCTTCTTTTTTGGCTGGGGGTTGGCATTCCTGCCTGCAGCAGCCTGTGAATGCGATCCCATGCGACAGAAAAGGAAAGTTTGTTTCAACATTGCGGCATTTTCTCCTTTTGTGGAAGTGTGTCCTCACAGTGTTGACCACCCCCACTTCCTTCTCAATAAACAAGGACAGCCCCACCGCCACACTCACACATTGGAAAGCTACACTGACACTTGGAACATAATCCCAGACGCTCACAGTAAACCCACTGGTCTCTCATTTTCGAAACCAGCCTGCAGGACACCACCCCCAAACATTTGAATCACTGCCTCTAAATTACAATACTGTGAGAAACAAACACCCCCTGAAATTTAATTAATTTATTTCTTAATGTAAACAGTGTTTTCTGTTTTAAAGAAACGCAAAAAATATCAGTTTGTCTTACAGGTTATACAATTTAGATATATTAAAAAACAAGGTGAAGAAAGGAAACCATTTGTTTCATTACAGTTTGATTATCTTCTGGCCATACGTTGTCAGAACTTCAACCAGAGGTGTTCTTTTATATTAAAAACATTCTCTTAAATTAATCCCATCCTGTAAAATAAAATTCAACAAGAAGTCACGATTTATCAAGTCGAGTACAAACGTCCATAGCAAGTTTTGAATTAGTGTATACCAAAGGTTAAAATAAAATGGAAGACAAAATAGAGAGAGTAGTAACCAAACAGCAGCATTAAAGATGCTATAGAAATGTTACCTTGATTGGCAGATTGTCAGTGCATCAAACAAGTCCTGTTCAAACGTGAAGTTGAATTTATGGATTACAGTCTAAAGTGGATAAATATGGATATCACGGTCAAGTGGTTAGAAACATTGTGTGCATGGATCACACAGTGCAGCTGTTAAAACAAGGAAAATATGGCATTTAAATAAACATAATAATATTGTAATCTGCTTTAATAAAATATCATTTTTACCTCAATGCATGTGATTATTTACCTCCTCCTGCTAAACTAGACCAGTCTTAATTGAGCTTCAGTCTCAGTGCTGTCTTTGCTCTCTTAAATATAAGAGCATTTTCAACTCCACAGAAATTTGATCACGAGTTCACTCAAAATTTCACTTAATACAGCCCCTGGTGAGCAAATGAGATTGATAAATTGATATTTGCAAGGTGCTCACTTGGTAGATTTTTCCTGCTATTTTTAATTGTAAAACCAAACTGAAATAATGACCAAATAAAGGTGAATACAAGTTTAGTTAGTTTGTTACTGTCTCTGCATTTTGCACAGTAGGGCTAACGATTTTGAAAATATATCTAATTGCAATTATTTTGACCTATCTTGCACTTGCATTATGATTTGCAACATTGGAGGGAATTATCATTTTTACATAATGTTTAATTAAAAACATATTTAGATGATCATGGTGTGATGTTCGCAAGGATCTGTACCAAACAATGATGTTGCCTTTAACACTCCTGCAATTTGAAAGTTGTAGTAGGCCATATTTCGATAAGAAGTCTTTCTGTATCTCTTTTTTGGGGGTGGCTGAAAATCTCAGCAAATGGGCAAATGCTGGATTTATTTGGCAGGTAAGGGGAGACACTTTTAGTTAGTTACTTGGAAAGGATCTTATTCTTGCAATGGATTGCCACGTTTCCTAACTCGTCGTCCAATATGCCTTCTGTTCTTGTGCCAAGCCATAAATCACACACATTACAACAAATGCGACATGAGTTGACTCCAGATGAAAAAGTGTTTGGCCTTATGTGGAGTAGCTGTAGGCTGCAGGAAAGTGCATGTGTCCTGTTTTGGGAATTGGAGCAGACTGCTGGGTCTGAGTCAGCCCCTTCTGATTTGGGGGAATTCTGTGTTCTGGTAACTCCACAGAGCTGATGTGACTCAGCCTAAGTCTCTGCAGCATCATACCACTTCCCAGAAAAAGGATGGTGATGGCGATGATGATGTTAGTTCACGTGTAAATGTCATTAAATGATTACAGCTGTGGAATCAGACTCTGTGGCTTAATTTGGTCACCTTTTATCTTCAACCTTGCTTTAGTATCCTCTAATTTTCTCTAACACAGCATAGTGAATAGTGAGATGCTCATCAGTTACGATTAGAGACGTGCAGTTCATCAGGTGTGGGTTGGAAGTGGGGGAAGCAGAAGGAGAGCTGACCATGCAGTCTGTAGTGACCACATTTTGGAAACTATATGATGTCCTATTTTCCCTTCCCATTCCCACCTCTTGTCCGTCTGCTTTGGAGCCCTGCCATCGAGCAAGACCAGATCAGACTCTAAATTACCACACACTGTCCTTTAATGAGAATATCATACAGACACAGAAATTGCATGACACTCAAATCAATTTGAACCATTTTATAGCCGTTCCTTTTCCAATTGTGCCGTATGGGGGGGGTGCTTTTTGTACGTGGGGCATTTTACAGTTTTGCGAATCCTTGTGAAACAGACAGTACCTACTTTATGGACTAAAAAGGTGTCCCTGCGTTTCACACACTGGTTGCTTAAAAACACTTCCCGCAATGAACTCTGAAGTTGCAATACCCCATGTTGCCATTTAAAGTGCTCATTTTATTTATCCCTTTCTCAATTCCAGGTCGAAATGAGCTGATAGCTCGCTATATCAAGCTACGAACAGGGAAGACGCGCACACGCAAACAGGTATGCATAGATGTTACTGATGACTATTGTATTTACATGTGTTTTATGTAATAGGATTTGCTATGTGCAGCTTACCTGATATGTTTTTGTTTTTTATTTTGTTGTAATTTACTTTTTCACCTTCTTGAATTTAATGGACCATTTCTATGTAAAACTGCAAAATCATCCTGAAAATGTGTGTCTTTTCATGGGGGTAACCCTGGCCCCATAGGTGTCTAGTCACATTCAGGTTCTGGCACGTAAGAGGGTACGAGAATACCAGACCAGCATCAAGGTGGGTGCCCACTGAATCAACTCTCCCTACCCTCTGTAGTCACATCCCCTCTTTTTTTCCTTTCCTTTTTCTTCCCCCCCATCCTCTTTCCTTCCTCCTGTCTTCTGTCAGGTCTCTAGTCACCTGCAAGTCTTGGCCAAGAGAAAGTCACGTGAGATTCAGACTAAGCTCAAGGTACACACGCTCACTGATCACGCTAGCTGCTTCGCTCCTCATGTGGCCCAAATCTGACTTAACCCGTCAAATCGCCATAGATGTCTATGTCAGAGCTTATGGCAGATTTATGCTTCTCTGTTGACGTATTGAGGAGGCTCAGTTCATACATCGGGGGTTCTACCATAATGGAAACTAGTCAGTTTTGGCTAGTTTAACATTTTCACTACCAAGACAGTGAGGAACAACTCAGAGAAGGACTCAAGTTTTCGTTAATAATAGACAAATTGTAATGTTAACGTATGAAATATCAATTTTGTGTTGTGGTGATGCTAGAATTCATGTACAGTATTTATCGCAGGACCACTGGAACACCTTGATGGAGAAGCATAAATCCAGCTTTGAAATAGTTAGGTACATGATTGTAACACCATCGTTGGGGCACTGAGATAGTGGTTGTTAATGGCTGTGGGAGATTGGCATGGACGGCTCAGTTTTTGCAAACTCATTATATTTCAGATATATTATTTATCTGCCTGCATGCGTTAAAAGATCTCACTCGTGTAACTCTAAGTTTTACAGTGTAAATGCCAGATGTTTTGAATGTGTTTATGTATCATAATATGTGTGAAAGAGATTTTTGTTACCATGCATGGCAGCGATGTTGATCTGTTTACTTAGTTCAAGAGGCTTTGGACAGATAAGTTGAGATTCAGAAGCCGTCTTGGGTTGACCTAAGCATGTGCATGGCTGTAGTATTTAACCTGATTGCTTGCATATACACAGACATGCAGGGATTTTTTTAATGTCCCCGTCACCCATGTGCGCACATGATGAATTTCAGTTTTTCCTTTTAAATCACGTCTGATCTCCACAATCTCACTCTAAGACATTTCTCTGTCCTTTTATATCTTTTCTGTTTAAGCAGTTTTCTTGTGGTTTTACCATGTCCTGTAATAAAGCTTCTTTGTGACATCATTTTTGACCAAAGGCATTCAACTTGCTGCCCTCTAATACACATTTATTGAGTGTAACTTGTTCAGATTTCCAGGCCAGTATATCTCCTTGTATGAACGTCAGCTTTAAGATAGCACTAATAGGGCGTAGCCTGTCATGTCAATGTAAGTGTGTGTGTTTGTATGTGTGTGTGTGTGTGTGTGTGTGTGTGTAAAATAAGGTAGGTTTGGGGTTTAGTAAAAGAGTTTTGTGTAGTCAGCAAGTTGTTTTTCCACATTGCAGAACAGTGAATCTGTGACCTACTGTTATGTTGAATGTACTGTTAAAGTTAATTAATAATGTGTCTTCTTTGCCATAGGCCATGAACTTGGTAAGTTTTGGAAATACAACTACAGTTTTGTGCTTCAGGCTTTTTGCTTTGTGGTTGGCATCACATTACTGCAATTCAGTTCTGCTGCCAGACTCAAAAATCCTGCTCATGACTCTTTTTTGTCTTTAGTGGCTTTAGTTAAATACTGGTAATGGCTCCAGTTAGCTCTCCTAGCCTGCTAGCTTGGTGCGGCTCCTGCTTTGGCATACCCCCCACCCCCCACCCCCCACCCCAATATCTGCTTCGCACTCTGTCCTGTCTTCCCTCATAGTAACTGCATCATGCTGAAGTACTATGTAATAATGTTGGCTTGCTGTCTAAACTGGCCTTTAAGGTTGGCTGACTGTGGAGCGTTAACTAAAAGTTTACTAGATTTCTTTTCAAGGTTGGACCATTATCATGGTGTAATATTTTCTTTCTCACATAGGACCAGGTATCCAAAGACAAGGCACTGCAGACAGTAGCCAACCTCTCATCTGCTCAGATTGTGTCTGCTAGTGTAATGAAAGCCCAGACTCCGTTCCCTCCACCAGTCAGAGTGAGACACACAAACACACGTGCATCTGTTCTTTTCTTCCTTCTGGGTAAAAGTCTGAGTAATACTATCTGCCCTGTTTCCCTTCTTTCCCTTTGTTTAGTTTTGGCCCGGGCCTATGCCAGGACAGCCTGGACATTCTCAGGAGTAAGTATTGCTGGCAGATAAGTTGGTTTTGTTTGTTTAAAGTTGGAGAGAGTCCTGTGCTTAAGCTGGTGCAGTTGCTCATTTTCAGGGGGTTCCTGCTCTTTCTTTTTACAGCATCAAGCCCTTTGCACAGCCACCATATACTACACTACCAGCCCCTGTACCTGCACCTATCAGTAAGTGTGAACGCAAACTCACTGATTTGAGTTATTAGCAATTGTTATATTAATTTATATTAATTGTGTTATCCTGGTTTCAATGTTTGGCAGGTTATGAGCCACTGCCTCCCCACCGCCCTGCAGCTATAGCAGCTCCTGTATGGCAAGACAGAACAATCGCCTCAGCAAAACTACGGCTACTAGAGTACTCTGCTTTTCTGGAGACCCAGAGAGACAGGGAGGCGGTACAGACATCCAGACATTTATACAAGATAACAATATAGAATGTTGCCAAAACAAAGTCTTTCCTCGCTTTCTTATAACATCTCCTTCCTTTCCTACAGTATAAACACCTTTTTGTACACATTGGCCCATCAAACCCAGGCTACAATGACCCTGTGTTGGAGTCAATAGATGTGAGGCAGATTTACGACAAGTTCTCTGAGAAGAAAGGAGGCCTGAAGGAGCTGTATGAAAAAGGGCCTCACAACGCATTCTTCCTCGTCAAGTTCTGGGTCAGTACACAAAACCAGTGTTCTCACTGATTAGATTAGATTAATAACTGGGAATTATGAGAGGCATGCTGAAGAAAAGGAAGTCTGATAAATAGTCACAAGAAGTCAGGAGATCATGGGGAATTGTACAACTTTGACACTAACATTTTAATACAGCTGTTGCATTAGAGGTTTAAGTTGGTGTTTTAAATTGCATAGCTGTTTACAGTCTGAGGTTATAACCTGCTACACCACAAGGGGGTAGCAAAGCCAGTGTGATTCTGGAGCTGGTGTTTACACAGGAACTGACTTCTTCATTGGTGGTTGCTTGTTAACAGTACTTTGTTTTCTCTGTGGAGTTTTCTTGTCAACAAAGAAACATTGTTTACATTCAGTGGTGTTACAAACAAATGTGTTTTGGTGAGTATCCTTGGAGTCAAACAAACATGTTGTGTGTGTTTCCCTCCATAAAACATTTGTAAAGCTGAGTATTTTAAGTTGAGCATTGTTTACATCCATGTTTTCCGGCTTGCAGTCTTCTTTTTCCCTGCCTTTGTTAGCGCATTGCGGCATATCTTGGCGTGTTACCTCCACCTGTTGAGCAGGGATATAGTGTGAAACCACACATCACCTGCATGTGCGCATATGCACGTGTGTCATCGTGTGCTCACACAAGACAGACAAAATTGTCTGTCTGTCCATAATAGCCTAATATTGCTGTTTGACGTAACTTCTCACTACACCAAATAGTTTTAAAAAAGGTCTGTCCTAAGGCATTTATTAGTTTCTGACTTTGATGGGAGGAAAACAGTTCCCAAATCTCTCTGAATCTCTGAAATCTATCTCTGAATTCTCACACATGTACACTATTCTATGTGATCTCGTTTTGATAACTAATGCAATAAGTAATGTAATATTGTTTCACTTCCATTCACTGAGCATCCCCTGAAGCTGTTTGGAGCCCCCCGAGGGAGGCCCGCTTCACACTTTTAAATCCCCTGGCTTATGTGATCAGACATTTTGCAGGAAGAGCTGCAGTGGGAACCTTGAGCCAGATCTACTTTTGTCTGTCTTTTCACACTCACTCACGGCCCATCTTTCTGTGCTCGTTTCAGGCGGACCTGAGCAGTGACATAGAGGAGGGTTCTGGCGTGTTCTACGGTGTGAGCAGCCAGTACAGTGGAACAGAAAACATCACAATCAGTGTGTCAACAAAGGTCTGCTCCTTTGGCAAACAGGTGGTGGAGAAGGTTGAGGTGAGAAGATGAACACCCCCCCCCTTTTTTCCTATATATATTAATGCGCATATCAGACCATATTCTCATGTGGTTTAATTGTGATGTGTACGTGTGGATTGCTCCCATTCAGACTGAATATGCACAAATGGAAGGAGGAAAGTATGTGTTCCGCATCCATCGTTCGCCCATGTGTGAATATATGATCAACTTCATCCATAAACTCAAACACCTGCCAGAGAAATACATGATGAACAGTGTACTGGAGAACTTCACCATCCTACAGGTATGTGCGTGTGTTATTGCGCACCTCTTTTATTTCCCACATCTGAATCTCTGGAATGGTGTTTGTTCATGTGTTTCATTATTAAATCCTGACCTCCACAATGTGTTTCCTCCTCTCCTGTCTCTTTCTAGGTTGTGTCCAACAGAGAAACTCAGGAGACTCTGCTGTGCATCGCCTTTGTGTTTGAAGTGTCCACAAGTGAACACGGAGCACAGTACCATGTTTATCGACTAGTTAATGACTAGCAGCACGTGGCGTGCATGCACAGAGACTCTCCACAGACTCTTTTTTTGATACATATGGCGTAAACACTCTTTCCAGCTCATACACACAGACTCCCCACTCCTCTACTCTAAACACACACTTGTTTTTACAGACCAACAGTCACACTTTAGTCACACCTGTTTTTTGTTTGTATGTATTTCCATCACTGCAAACAATGCACACATTTGCACTCAGCAACATCCCATGACTTAAACACTAAAGTGAAATTCATTTTTATGGATTTTGACCAGTATGTGGTGTCATTCACATCAACTGTTGTGATCTCTGATCCAGTGTAACCTTGTCTCACCTTGAGAAGGGTATTATTCCTGTCTTTTTAATTTAATTCATTGATAAACATGATCCAAAAAACAAGGGATGAATTACATTTAGTCAAGTTTAATAAGTGATAGTCTCTGATCATATACACAATATTCAGTGGGAATGTAGCTGCGCTGCACTACAAATGAAAATTATCATCTCCAGGGAATTTTCCGAGTATATGCTTTTGCATCATAGGTGTGACCGATGTGAGACGAGTTTGAATATAGGTTGGCAAACACATCATTTAATCAGTGTTAATGTAACTCTGCCACAATGGCTATTTCTTCTACAGTTTGTAGTATCTCCGTAAGGTAGGGCTTGAATGAGCCTATAGTTGGTGTATCCTCTATCACTGCTTAGTGTGGAGTCATGAATCCCCAGTTTGTTTAATCAAAACTCTCATGGCAGAAAGATATGTGTGTGCACCTTTTCCCAGAATGTAATGCACTACATGTAAAGAGACGTAAAGTCGTATTTATATTTGAAACAAGTGTAAAGAGAGCCATAATTTTAGGTCTCCAGTGGCGCAGAGGTGTGGAGGGAAGGATCTTTTTGATGCTCAAGGAGGCGTTTAAGTTTGGCTCACCTGTCTTTGGAAACAAAGTAGTACACAACCAGTTTCAGATTCAGTTCACACTCAGCAGCATTTTGAATGAAAGACTTATCTTTACTGTTCATTGACATTACTGTTTTTACTTAGACTGTGTGGGCTTGCTGCAGTATTTCTACCTCCACGTGAGTTGGGATAAGAATGTGCTTTGGTTCATAAAGCCTTAACCTGAGGAGCACTGATGTATAGGATATGTACACTACACTTGTAATGGTACTGTTTTATAAGCCAAAACAAGATAGACTCGTTTTTGTAAAGATGAAATAACTTCTTTTTTGTATTTTACCAGCACAGCTAGAAGTGTTACTCTAAACATCATATATGATTGGTGTTTTTTTTTATGTATGCAAAATGATGTATGGTACAGACCACACTAAGGTCACCCACCGTGCACTGGGGTAGATGTTTTGCCTGATAACACTAGCAAAGTATCCAGATTACATATGCTCTATCCCATCTTTTTTTTTCTATGTAATGTTTTTGGATTCTGGTACATGTTTACTACCAGCATTTTTTTTAAAACTAGTAACTGTTATTTGACTATCACTCCCTCTCCTGGTGGGATTCTCTTTAACCATGCAGAAGGTGGCAATGATTTGTCTTGATCATGAAAGTAAGAGCCGACTGGTTCAGTTTTAAATAACCATGTTCACTGTGTGTGCAGCCAAAATGTTTATTCTTTTATTTTTCCTGTCTGTGTTGGCTGTGCCTTATCACTCGTTTGGTCAAGTATGCTCAGTGAATTAAATCTGTGCCTTTTATGCTGTACCAATAAAATCACAGTGTTTGCAGAATCGTGTAGCCTTCATAGGAACACTTAAAACAGCTGATCTTAAATAATCCTCTACATTTTGAACTGTTAATACTCTGGTTCAGTGAAATTCAAAAAGTCCCATTTTAGGGTTGGGTATCGAACCTCAATACTTTTTGAGTACCAACATAATGCGTCATAGACTCTAGTATCAAGCTGTCAAGTAATGAAAGTTGGCATCGAATGCTTTGTCATCATTTAAGTGTCGGTAACAAAACAAGACTTTCTGATCATTTCATAGTCAATCATATTTTTTATTTAGGCAAAGATTTTGTAAATGGGTTCAAAGTTAGTACAAGAAGTAACGCTAATGCAATTTATTTAAAGGGATTTTGTAGGGGGGGAATGTTTCTCAAGAAAGGTGTCGTTTAGGCACCACTGTCAAAATGATAGCAAAGCTCTAGTCTTAGGCCTTTTCCAGGGGAGACATTTTGACGTGTTCTAGAAACACAGGTGGCACAGATGTAAATGAGTAAGTGACAGACGTCTGGATTCCATTCAGCTGCTTTAGAGTCCTCACGTGGTTTTTGTACGTGTAGTTTTACTCACTTTTGTAATCAGATGAATTGCCCTCACTGTTACGACATATCATGCCACATACTGTAGGTTGCAATTCTTATTTGGCCTGCTAGATGGTGCAGTTGCCTCAGTTTTACAGTGGACAGATGAGTTCAGAGCCTGGTGTGACATAGCCAGAGCAGTCATGGAAAGTCTTCACTTTTATCTCCATTGTAATGCCTTCAACCTATCAGTGCACCTCTTTACAGCTGCATAGCTAGAAGGAAAAAAACATGAATCTGTCAGATACACAAGGGTCAAACTAAAGTACAGTTATGTTTTACTGTTAGTATTATTATTAGTCATATAGGTTATTGATATTGTCTTTGTGGTGTTTTGCCAATGTGAAAGCTATACACTATACTTCTTTTATACCACATGTGCACCATTCAAGGAGTTTAATATCCTTGTGGGGAAACGTTACTGATATAGTTAAATGATACACAATTGAAAGATATAGGCTTAACAACAGATACTTTTGGGTCATCCCTGCTGCTACATACTATACATACACGCCACAATACTGCCCTGCTTCTGTAGGGTGAAGGTTGAAGCTTCTGCTCATATCTTGTCAGACCTGATTATGTCAAATAAATGCCCTGACCTATAGTACCTATACACTATGCTGTATAGTGTGGGTGTGTACACCTGTAAACCAATCTAAATGCTCAAAACTTTTTTCTGGATCTTTCAAAATCATAAATATATTGCATAATGTGTGTTTGCTGGCAACTTTCCAAGGCATACATGTTAAAGCAATGTGTTAAATGTGTGACTCCACACACACACAGTCCATATGGTCTGCATCACTCTACATGACCTATTGCTTGGGTTTTGAGGTGTTTTCAGCACAGGGCCTATTCACTTTTAACATAAATGGACACTTGTCCACACTGGCCACTCAAGCATGTTGGTGTTCACACTCCCCCTAAAACTATTTACAGCAAGTCAACAAGTTTACATACAACTGTTCACTTCCACTAATCCTCCCATTCTTCTCCTCAGTTTTTGGCTTTTCTATAAGCAGACATTAGTCAGAGTGTTATCTGTCTATGAAGGCTCGACTTACCAATGCCATGCTGCCAGAACTGTAAGTGGTGGACAGTGACACACACACACACACACACACACAATCCCTGAGGCTGGGTGTGGTACTTACCGCATTATCTAATTCTTCCAACATGGCAACAGTACAAGAATATAGCTGACATAGTTAACAGGTTGCTCATGGCTGTTTCTCACGTTAAATCATCCATTCTGGTCTACAGACCAAACAATACTGGCTTGTCTACAGCCTATATGATCACCTTAGAAGAATTGACACTATCAGTGGACCTAATAAATGTGTAGCTCATGTTCCTCCCTCTCACTCAGATAAAACATCTGGTAATTATCAATCAAGGCTGAGTTTATTTACTTTTATGACATTGTCAGAAACGCGCATCGCGTCGTGGCAGTGTTGAGGTGAAGGGTGTGGTGGGAAAATGTCATATGAAGACACTTTGCCAAAACAATCAGGTTATGCAGAGCATGTCCTTGTCTCCTATTTTCCCCCCTCATGTTCTCCCTGTCCTTCACCTCGTCCTTTTTTATTTTCCCCTCTGTCTTTGCTATCTCCTCAAGTTGCTTGCTTGTGTCCTGAACAGTTTGTCTGCAAACCAGACGCTTAAAAAAAAGTAGTCCAGCTTAATCTTACACAATAACACAATAAGGTGATGAAAACTACAGCTGTTTGTGAAAGAAATCTATTAGGCATTTTAAGTTCATGAATCATGATCATCTAGATAAACGGATCTTCTGGCTTCTGGCAACATTCTCTACACTTTATATATCTTGTTATATCTTTTTTGTAAAGTCAAAAGTCTTGAAAAATGAAATAATGATGATAAACAAACCATAAAACCTTTTTTTTTTTTCTTCATTATTGTCACTGGCCAACAGCTGTTATACATTTCAGGTAATATGTTACGTTGCTGTCCTAACATGTGCAGGCTGTTATTGTGATCTGTTTTAAGTAGAAATTCTTTCATTCTACCCAGCTCATTTATGGACTGAGTCACAACGGACAACAGTGGCGTGATATCAATATCGTAAAACATGAGCAACATGTGTTTTCTCAAACTTGGAGAAGGCTTTCTGACCTCCTGTGGGGGGTACTGCGGGAGTATGGGGTACCAGGGCCAGTGGTGGCAGCAGTCTGTTTGTGGCACAACTTCAAACACTTTTTCAGTGCGTGTTGGACACAGGTTGTCCTTTATCACCTGTTCTATTTGTGATCATCATTGATGGGATCTCAAGGCTCTTTGCAAAGAATTTGTTTCTTTTTGCTTCATCAGAACGGAACTTTGAGCACACACTGGAGCGGTTTGCTGTGGAGCGTGAAGTTGTTGGGGTGAGAGTCAACACCTGAGGCCATGCATGTGTTGAATATGTGTTTTAGCTTTTTTTGTTGTCCCACTTTATCAAATATGATTGAGAATGTGGGACAGCATGGTCTGGGTAAACTGGGACAGTCATTCAAGTTCTTCAAATGCATACAACAACATTATTCAAGGTTTATGAGTGTAATGCCGGTAGACAGCATATCCCACCCACTGGCTTTGAGCAAATTTGACAAGGGTCAAATTGTGATGACTGGGTCAGAGCATCTCCAAAACTGCAGCTCTTGTGGGGTGTTCCTGGTCTGCAGTGGTCAGTACCTATCAA